AGGGAAAGAGAAAGAGGGAGTGAGAGAGAATCTCAAGCAGGCCCTGCGCTGTCAGTGTGGAGTCGAGTGTAGGGCTCAAACCCAGGAAATGATCAGATCATGACCTGAGCTGAAAGCAAGAGTCAAACGCTTAACCTACTGTGTACCCAGGCACCCCTGTCTACTCACTTTAAAAAAATGATGTAGGGGCACATGAGCGGCTCACTCAGTTGAGTGTCTGACTCTCTGTTTCGGCCCAGGTCACGATCTCACAGTTTGGTGGGTTCGAGCCCCACACTGGGCTCTGTGCTGAAGACATGGAGCCTGCTTAGGATTCTCTCTCTCTCTGCCCCTCCCCCATAAGTGCTCTCTCTCATTCATGCATGCTCTCTCTCTCTTTCTCTCTCAAATAAATAAACTTTAAAAAATGATGTAAAAATCCAACACATTGCCAGACAAAAGATGTCTGTGGGCTTCTGGTTTACTATTCCAGATGAAGATATTTGAACTTGAAGTGGATGAAGACATAAATTAAGCTAATTTGGAAATAAACTAGTTATTATACTAAATACTTTTTAAAAATGTGACTTTCAAAATTTTTTTCTTCTCAAGCTTTACTTTAAAAAGCCCTCATTTTATTAGATGTATATATAATTAAAAAATATAGAAAGGGAATAAATAGTGAAAAAGTAGAGTTTTTCTCTGTCACGCAAGCACGATATGTTGTAGGGAAATTATTTTACTTCTATGAGGCATGAATGGCAGAAACAAACAATTTCGTTATTCTAGACCAATATCTTCGCTTAAAACATTTTACTTTGATCTTGCCAGGAGCCTTTGATGACTAACATACCAGGTTTTAAAAGGGAATAGGATATAATGCATTTAAATTCTATACTATTAGAGCGGCTACTAACGATCTATAAGAGAGAAATATCTCAACATAAAAGCTAGCCACTTTTTGAAACATCTAGAATATACATGGTAGTATTGCTTTGAAGAAGAAACTATTCTCCTTTGAATAATGACAGTGTTGGAACTGCAACAGAAAGTTTGAAATTATCTTTAAAGATACTGTGTTACTTGAAAATTGAATATGGAACTAGAAAAATGATGTAGCATTAGGAATCCATTTTGGATGGTTATTCTTGCTGTATTTTACTCAAGGCTAAATGATTATACCATTGAAATGCAGAGCTTGACCTGCTGTAGCATCAGGGTCCACATGTGTTTCTTCAGTGATTTGTTGATATCTTACTAGGCTGTCACTAGGAAGGGGTATTGTCTCAGGAAGGTCAGATCTGTGGCAAAGGGACCCAAGTCAGGCAGTTGCATAGATGCAGTGTCCTGATGGGGGAAAATAGCATGTTTCTCCTGTCTTGAACATTTAAAATGTAAACACTTAAGGTTATGAAAGCAATGATGGGTATAAGCATTTTTCAACAATTTTAAAAATATTTATTTTTGAGGGAGAGAGACAGTGTGTTAGTGGGGGGAGGGGCAGAGAGAGAGGGACACATAGATACAAAGCAGGCTTCAGGCTCTGAGCTATCAGCGCAGATCCTGATGTGGGGCTCGAACCCCAAACCACAATATCATGACCTGACCCAACATCAGCCACTCAACCAATGGAGCCACCCAGGTGGCCAATTTTTTAAAATCCATTAATGTATTTCTACATGAATGACAGCTGGATTTATAGACTATTTTATATTTCCAGAAGGCTGTGTGACTATGAGGCTATCTGGAATAAAGATAAGCTTAAAAGAAATTTTAAATATTATTTTGCTTATTGTGAAAAAAATAAAGACTGACAAGTCAAAATTTCACCAAATGAGGTACCAACTATTTCCCTGAGAGCTGGGATGATGAGTATCATTGGACAGCATTAGCAGCACAGATAGGCATCCATGCTCTTGGAAACTTATCTAAAGTAAGGAAATGTATAGTAGCAGATATTAGAGTCCCCAAAGTCAGCTTTTCCCAGTTCCCACCCCGCTCTGCTCTCAGAGTCTCACTATGGTCCATGTCTTTACACATCAGGAATGTATGTATGTATGTATGTATGTATTTTTAAGTTTGTTTATTTTTGGGAGAGAGGGAGAGATTGTGAAAGCAAGTGCAAGGAGGGGAGGGGCGGAGGCAGAGGGAGGGAGAGAATTCCAAGCATGCTCTGCCCCAGTAGCACAGAGCCAGATTCAGGCTCGATCACACAAATGTGAGATCATGACCTGAGCTGAGATCAAGAGTCAGACGCTTAACTGGTTGAGCCACCCAGGTGCCCCTCAACAATGCATTTAGATGGGGCGCCTGGGTGGCTCAGTTGGTTGAGTGTCCAACTCTTGATTTTGGCAGAAGTCATGATCCAGAGGTTGTGGGATTGAGCCCTGTGTTGGGCTCCGCACTGAGTGTGGAGCCTGCTTAAGATTCTCTCTCTGTCCCTCTGCCCTCACCCTAGATCACTCATGCTCTCTCCCAAAAAAAAAAAAAAAAAAAAAAAAAAAAAAAAAGAATGCATTTAGAGTCAAGAGCTCTATTTTTATGGAAGGAGGGACAAAACAAGAGCAATGTTTCTATTTCAGAGTCTCACTCTGATAGATCAGAGATACTTCAGTTCTCAGCCCACTGTTCAATTTCAGTGCTTGGCTCCCCAGCACCACATTACCACCAACACCAACATGATCACTGTCACCACTACCATCCCTACATCTCTACCCCCACCACCACCCTCACCACCAGCCTCCCTGCCATCACCAAAATCAGCACCGTCCTCACCATTTGCAGCAGCACCACTAGTAGCATTAATTCTGACCTTGGTGATCACAATGTCTTCCAAACTAGCTTCTCTGCTTCTAGCCTTTCATCCTCTTCAATCTTCCCTATATTTTTTCCATACATCAACGTTCTGGTCATATCTCTTGCCTGCTTAAAAGCTGAACTTTTAGGGACATCTGGGTGGCTCAGTCGGTTGAGTGTCTGACTCTTGATTTGGGCTCAGGTCATAATCCTAGGGTCTTGGGATTGACCCCCACACTGGGCTCTGCACTGAGCATGGAGCCTGCTTAGGATTCTCTCTGTCCCTCTGTCCCTCTCCTCTGCTTGCATTCTCTCTCTATCAAATAAAAAAAAGCTGAAGTTTTAATTTTTAATCAATCCCATTCCCAATAAATGAAGTCTAGTCCCCTGGAGCTGGCACGAAAGGGCATGCATTAAAAAAATATTTCCAGGTCAAAATTCAGGACAGATTTCCCATTGCTGCCTCTACAAGTATTCTGAGCTCCACCAAATTTAGAACATTCACTGTTCCTTGAATATGCTTTAAGGAAGCATTTTTCAAAGTTCAGATCAAATACTACTTTATTAGAATCCCTTGGAATATTTGTTAAAATGCTTATTTCTAGACTGCATGTCTGGAAGCTCTCTCTTCAGGATCCTGGCTCTTCACACCCTCTTCTCCTTAGCTTCAGGACCTTGTTGACAATTTAGTGGCCACAAAGTCCCATTTAACATCTGGTTACCTACATATCTTACAGGGTGTTTTATAAAATAATATTATGAAAATATAAAGCAATTAGCAGAGTGTCTGACCCAGTAAAGACACCTCTTATGCTTGTCCTACCTCCCTCAGAGTATTTTTAGTTTTCAGGTAAATAATAACTGTGATAGCACTTTTATCTTTTTTGTATGTTCTCTTATAAGCTCTTGGTGGGAATGGATTTTGAACTATTAATCACTGAATAACTTGTATAATCTGCTCCAGTGTTCTCATTAAATATTAGCTGAATTAATAGTATGGTAGTGGGCACCTGGGAGGCTCAGTTGGTTAAGCATTTGGCTTCAGCCAAGGTCACTGTCTCACAATTTGTGGGTTTGAGCCCCACGTCAGACTGTGCTGATAGCTCAGAGCCTGGAGCCTGCTTCAGATCTATCTGCATCTCCCTTTCTCTGCCCCTCCCCTGCTCACTTTCTGTCTCTCTCTTAAAAATAAATAAACATTTAAAAGATAGTATGGTAGTTATTTTTGTGACAGAAATTTAAATTCCTAAACATCATTTAAAAAGTACCCTTCTTGGGGCACCTGGGTGGCTAGTCAGTTGGGTGTCCAACTTCAGCTCAGGTCATGATCTCACAGTTTGTGAGTTCGAACCCCGCGTTGGGCTCTGTGCTGACAGCTCAGAGCCTAGAGCCTGCTTCGGATTCTGTGTCTCCCTCTCTCTCTCTGCCCCTCCCTTGCTCGTGCTCTCTCTCTCTATCTCAAAAATAAATAAATATTAAAAAAAAAAAAAGTACCCTTCTTTTCGTGCTTCCAGAAGAAGCCAGCCCTATGGGCAACTTCTGCTTCCCTGGTGGCCCCGAAAGCTGCAAGGTCAGATCCTCAGAGTCTCAGGCTCTCTCCGCCCCTGATCTTAGGTAGCCCAGTCCTCTCCTACTCTGAAACTTTGGTGGGAGAGACTGGGGGACCTTCAGATGAATATTTTGGATATAGCATTAAGATGCCTTTATTGGGTTTTCATCCCCAGTCCTGCCTACCAGTTTTTAGAAGTGACTTTGGTCTCATTACCAAGATACAATATTCACCTGGGACCCAGCTGAGACAAGCAGACCGTATCTCGTTTCCTGTCTTCGGGCCCCTGTCTTGATGACTTGCTCAATACTTGCACTTTTGTGATTAGACACTGCCTTTGTGTTGCCAGTGATATCTACCCTGTCTATCCATCCTTCAAGAGTCTTTTGAACCTTATCCTTCAGCTCCTTAATGGCAAATTTGCTGGTAGTGACTGACTGCTGGTAAGTTTCCAAGGACTTGCTCTGAAGTCCTTTATCCATGTTCAGAGAATCCCTTCTCTGCTGGTAGACTGCTGATCCTAGGTGCTTGCCTTAGGCGAACATGTGTAGCATTTAGATTGGGCCTCCTGACTGATCCCTCAGCGGTTTGCTCTGCGAGTGGCCATCTCCTTACTTCATGCCCTCTGTTTCCACTAATCCTTATGCAGTTCATGGCCCGTGGCCACAGTGCTCACCTGGCTGATGGTACTCATGGCTCGCATGTAGCTCTCATTCCTAGAGCGGAACTTTGGTGATGTGAGCAGGCCGGCAGGGTCAAGGCTGTCCAGGCTTCGGTTGATGGAGACTTCACTTACTGCCCTCAGGTAACTGTGACTCCGGATCTGGAGTTTGGGGGAGTGTTCATTGGAAATCCTAAGAGAGAAAAAAGGAAAGGGCACATTTAATAGTAATAGAAATAGTAATAAGACATGGTTGCTCTATCATTGATATGCTACCCTAAATTCTGGGGTGAATACTGGGCTTCCTGTGATTATTAGACTCTCCTGTGGTGGCTCAGAAGGAAAAACTTTTGACCAGAAATCATTAAGGTCTGATGATATTAGCAATTAAAATTCTCTTCAGCCTATGAAGTAATTTCCCCATTCACATCCTGGGGAGGGAGATAATAGTTCTGACTTTCCTGCCCCAGAATCCTGTGGTCTGTAAGCCTTTTCTTCCTTTTAAAATTCTTTTTAAAGTTTATTTATTTATTTTGAGAGACAGAGGGAGACTAGGGGAGGAACAGAGAGAGAGAATCTCAAGCAGGCTCTGCACAGAGAGATGTGGGGCTCAGTGTCATGACCATGAGATCGTGACCTGAACTGAAATCAAGAGTGGGATGCTTAACTGACTGAGCCACCCAGGAACCCCTGTAACCTTTTTCTTTTACCTTTTTATTTCCTTTCTGTTGCCATCTTTTTGTTTTTGGACTTTCTAGTAACAGCAAGTGGGTATACATCTATAAGTATACCAGTATTTCTACCAATCTTTCTGTCATCTGCTTGTCTATCTAATCTTTGTCTCGTTTAGTTGAGACTGAACTTAGTGAACAAAACTTAAATTTTAGCCATTAATAATGCACATATCTTTAAATCTTGGTATGTAAAGAAAGTCTTTGCACACTGTACTCTTTGGATTTTTTTTCAAGATGTAGTTTAAAATTATAAAAGTAGAAAATCCTCATTGCCAAGGTATATAGGAGTATATAAAACAGAAAGTGGGTCTTCCTCTCCACCCCTGTTTCTGCTTCAGAATTCCACACCCTTAAACTACCCATAGCAGTCTGGTGTATATCCTTCTTGCTTTTCTATACGTATACAAACAATTCATTTTTAGTAAGTTTTAAAGCTAACTTCCACATGGGGTTCAGGGTGATTTTTCTTTTTTTTAAAAAATATTTTTATTTATTTCTAGGGGAGAGAGAGAGAGAGACAGCATGAGCAGGGGAGGGTCAGAGAGAGAGGGAGATACAGACTCTGAAATAGGCTCCAGGCTCTGAGCTGGCAGTCAGCACAGAGCCCGACGCGGGGCTCGAACCCACGAACCGCAAGATCATGACCTAAGCGAAAGTCAGACGCTTAATCGACTAAACCACCCAGGCGCCCCCAGGGTGATTTTTCTTTCATTATTAACTTCCTTTTATTTTTGCTGAAACATTGCAGTTTAAAATTAAAGTTGATGAGAAAGTTGTATGCCCAATGTGATTGTTGTTATTTATCATTATCCTGGAGCTTATAACCAATGAAATTAGAAAATAAAAAAGATACAAGGAATGTAAATATTGTGAAATAAGAGATAAGCTTTGATTATTCATGGATTATATAATTAATTATACAGGGAAGATTAAAAAAATCAACTGAAAAACTATTAGCATGCATTCTATCTGCAGATGGTAAAGATATTCTCCACATTCCAAACGTCCTTTTTGCAATGTATAAGATTGCACTCATTCTTGAAGTTTGTATTAATTATGTATTAATATAATCACTTAAAAATTAAAATAATTACATCAAAAAGGATCGACTCAGTAATACTAAAACCTGAGAGTTTGATGAGCAGCTAATTTTTGCAATTACATTGAAAAGGGGACCAAGTTACGAGGACCAAATCTAGAATAGGGCCGCCTGGGTGGCTCAGTTGGTTGAGCATCCAACTTTAGCTCAGGTCATAATCTCCCGGTTCTTGAGTTTGAACCCTGTGTGGAGCTCTGTGCTGACAGCTCAGAGGCTGGAGCCTGCTTCGGATTCTGCATCTCTCTTTCTCTCTGCCCCTCCCCCACTCGTGCACGCGCTCTCTCTCTCTCTCTTTCAAAAATAAGTAAACATTAAAAAAATAGATCTAGAATTTAACATCAAAAGTAAACCTCCTACATTATTATTACAAAAGGGAAACTGTTCTAAAAATGGATGTTCTCAGTGGATGCTACAAGTAGCTATCAAACATGAACTATTTGCTCTGCCAGCTCACACAAATATTTGCCATGTGTTTTGTGCTATTATGGTGATTCACATGGGCCACTTTATAAATGCTCATGCCCCAAATCCCAACCAACCAACATAGAAACTGAAGAATTCATTTTCCCCTTAAGATCTCTTCTAGGAAAAGAGAGACTTAGCTGGAAGCATTTATAACCTAAAGTTCACTTCCCCTTAGAACTTGAGAATCAGATGGTAAATTTGTTTCTTGGGCTCTTTTGCAACCTGACCCAGGGCATGGATAGTGTCAACATAAATGATTGTGCTGTTCCAAATGGTTATCAGGGCACCAATGGAGGGGGAATGACTTTCATAAATGGTGTATATTCAAAAGACAAAGTGAAAGTCCAGTGTTCTGAGAATTGAGTTATCTGCTGGCTGAGATGGGGAAATGAGGCCTCATTGCCACAATCATTCACCCTGGTCACTGGTTATGAAATAAGGCATAATTCCCAAATTTCAAAGTGAAAAATCATTCAGAAAGCATCAAATAGTTCTACTTTGGTGAGTCATTTCTGATAAAACAACACATACTTTCTAAATATAAGGAAATAAACTCTTTCATCTTGCCCACTTAGCGGAGCCCACAACTGTCAATATAAAGGGCAAAAGTATGTACTTGTGCTGCTGATGCAGAAACACTCACTGAAGAAACACTGGAAAATAGTGCATTTATTACTTAATTTCCCTTGCTAAGAAGAAAGGGCATGTGCATATTCAGAAATACTAGTTCTCATGTTAGATGGATTATTTTTAAGTGTTGGGCTATTCAAATGACATCTATCTTTTTCCATTTTCCTCCCTAAATGGTTATTGCTAAGTTAATATTTTGTGGCTTATCAGAACTGAGATTTTGGCCTGGCTAAGTCCTACTCGTTATCATGTCCTTTAAGAGTACTCAAAGATAGGAGACCCTTTCCTGGCCATGGGGCAGCTACATAAACAAGGTTGGCCCAGTGGGTCAGTAAGGTGGCCAAAGAAGAGAGAGATGCAATAATACTCAGGCTGCAAGATTTTATACCAGTGCCCCGGAGGTAAATATGATTAAGTTTGTAATATAGTACTATTAAGTTTGTATATAGTAATATATTCATCAGATGAATAAACTCTGGGAATGTGATGTGCAGCATAGTGACTATAGTTAAAAATAGTGTGCTGTGTACTTGAAATTGCTAAGAGAGTAGATCTTTTTGTTTATTTTTGAGAGAGAGAGCAAGTGAGTGAGCATGGGGGAGGTGCAGAGAGAGAGAGAGACATAGAACCTGAAGCAGGATCCAGGCTCTGAGCTGTCAGTACAGAGCCTAATGCAGGGCTCGAACTCACGAACCATGAGATCATGACCTGAGCCGAAGTCGGATGCTTAACCAACTGAGCCACTCAGGAACCCCAAGTAGATCTTTTTAAATTCAGATATAGAACCTAATGAATGATTCACTATTTGTAAATATTGCTAAATGATCACCCTAATAAGTCTAGTTAACATCCATCACCACACAGTTACAGAATTTTTTCTTGTGATGTAAACTTTTAAGATTCACTCTCAACACTTTCAAATACACACTGCAGTACTGTTAATGAAAGTGTCCATGCTGTATATTACATCCACAGGACTTCTTTATTTCATAACTGAAAGTTTGTACCTTCTGACCCTCTTCGCCCATTTCTCCTACACCCAACACTCGCCTTTGGCAACCACTAATCTGTTCTCTGTATTTATAAGCTCATTTTCTTGTTTGTTCGTTTAGCGTCTACACATAAGTGAGATCACAAGGTATTTGAGAGTAGATTTTAAGTGGTCTCACCTTCCCACCCTTGGCAACCACAATTCCATTTTATGTCTCTCTGAGTTTGGCCACGCAGGGCATCTCATACAAGCGAAATTATATAGTATTTGCTTGGCTTGTTTCACTTAGCATAACGTCTTCAAAGTTCACCCCATGCTGCAGCTCATGTCTAAACTTCCTTCCTTTAAAGCTGAAGAATATTTCATTTTGTGGTTTATACTTCATTTTTGTTTATCCATTCATCTGTTGACAGACACTTGGGTTGCTTCTGCTTTTTGCTATTGTGAATAAAGCTGCTGTGAACATGGGTATACAAATATCTGTTTGAGCCCCTGCTTCTGGTTCTTTTGAGGATATACCCAGAAATAAAAATCTCTCTTTAATGAAGTATTTAATCTTTCCTATTTCATCTCTTGGCAATTAAACTCCCAACAAATTTGGGGACCAGCATAATAGAACTTTTTTTTTCTTCCTTGAAAGACATTCTATTGATCATTTAAGGTAAGTTTTAAGCATTTTAACTAATATAGTAGTATTTCAGGGACTATTATTGCTGTGATTAAAAAGAGACAAATGATACTTATTTGGTGGAAAGTATAGTAAAAATGTGAGTATAATTCTATTGTTCCAGTAATTGCAAAACAGAAATATAATTAAAACTTGATATAGCATTATTGAGAATAAATTGCATTGAAATGATTAAGACATCCAAAAAAGTCATTCCATAAGTAGTTAGAGATTGCAGAAAGACTGTTGGCAATAGTGTCAGCTTATGAATCAGTGAGAAATGAAATAATGTCATCCCAAGGAAAGCTGTGATGACAATTTGAATGTACTCGTTAGTAAAAAGCCCATGATGGTAATGCTTAGGAGGGGGTGGAAATAGTGACCTAAAAGCTGCTTGGAGCGGAATACAGAGTGTTTCCTTCCATTTAAAAAGTGTCAGGGCAGAGCAGATGTACTTACATAGATATAGGTGACATTGACAAACTGGAGCAGTTATAATTTACGTAAAAGTATTTTGATAGATTTTTCAGTGTTTCATATTCTGACTTCACTTTAAGAAGATCAAGAAGCAACCAAAGACAGACTCTTAAATAATTCTTACAACGCT